TCCGCAGCTTCCAAAGCTGGGTATACTTCATTTTAAAAGGGTTGTTGTATTGTAATGTAGAGTAGAACAATTTATATGGGGGAACATAGCCACAGGAAGGAATGCAATACATGCTAACCTGTTTTCTCCCCTTAAGGCAATTTTTAGGCCCCAAAGCCAGCTGTGTGTGTGTGTGTGTGTGTGTGTGTGTGTGTGTGTGAGAGAGAGAGAGAGAGAGAGAGAGAGAAGAAAACAGACCCAGTCATTGAAAGGCTTTTTGGTAGATGCCTGCCTATAAGTGTGCAATGTCCTTTGGCATGTGGACAATGAAGGGGGAGGTAAAGGGGTGGGGGCAATTAGAATGTTTAGGAGGGAAGTTGTTTTTTCTACCTAGATGTTAAATTTTAGAAGAGTAAGTGATGCGTTATCGAAAGCTAAAGAAAACTATGCTGCTAGTGGTGTAAGTAATACTGATAGTAATCTGACTGTCAGGGTCACTTCCTCCATGCTGGAGCAAAGCTAGCACAAGGTGAAGGTTCTAATAAGACTTAGTTAACTGTTGGTGCCACCACATCTCTCTTTGTTTTGTGTAGGGTTACCAAGCAAAAGAGCAGTTTGAGCTTCATCTATCTACTTGTATGTTAAATCTGGTAATCCAACTCCCCATCATCCAGTTCTTTCAATTGTCAGGCTACACCAATTTATAGTATTTGTATCTAGATAGAATTTAGAGATGTCAAAAGGCAAGGCCCTTGTACTACCATTCTGTCTAAAACAAGTACATGGAGCACCAGGCCAGGCGTAGGGCACTGCTGAGCCTGACAACCTCAAAAGCAGGACAGTTTTTTTTCAAAAGGAGACTTTAGGCTCACAATAAATAGGAGACTTTCAGATGGCCAGGTGCCAAATAGAATAATGGAATAATTAGCCACAACAGTTGGCTGAATAAAGATAAAAATATTAAATATTCACATGGAGTTGTTTAAAAAATAATCAGATGCGCACACTACAAACAACGCCCACTCACCTTTTACAAACTTTTTTTTCTTTAATAATGGGGCGAGGGGCAGCAGTCGCCCTCTTTCAGCATAGCTTTGTAGGTTTGCAGGCTAAGATACTGTGCCAAACCCTAGGAACAAAAAAATCCCTATGACCGACCACAGGCTGCAGGCTTCTTTCTTAAAAGTTGATGAAGTCAGGGTCCTTCAAACCCTGTATATTGACCTCCATCCCCCTTCCTTTTCCTTCCCCTCCCCCTCCCCACCTTCTCAATTCAAATGCCAGCAGTACCCTTTGAAATAAGTCACAGCAAACAGCTGGAGCACTTCTGTAGTCCTCCTGGGCCACTATTTGCTGCAGCTCTGTATATCCCGGCTTACTTTGATTTCACAGGTTTTAAAGATTTTACTCGAGTGAGACGGGAAGGTTACTTTCTCATTTTTTTAATTTAAGTATGAAATCCTGCTCCTAATGCCAGCTGACCACAG